TGGTGTCTTTTTGGTGGTTTTTTTTTTTTTTTTTTGTTTTTGCCTTTGGGGGAACCACTAATGTAAATTCTTATTCCTTCAATAGCATTTTTTATCATTTTTCAAAATTGTATTTTTATCCTCCAACTTTTTCATAATTCTACACTAGATTTATTAAAAGTTCCTCATAAATTATATACGTATTCACATATGCTAGTATCCTCATTAAGTATTTTAGATGCTAAGACTATTGTTTGTTTTTAGAATTTAGCAAAATCAAAATAACAGAAAAGGATAAAATCGTTCAAATAAAATTTTAATAATTTCATCTTTAATAATTTCATCTTTAATACTCACTTTATATTTTCCAAATAATGGGTGTCTTCCCCCGGTTATTAACATATCATCCTCCCGATCAAGAACAAGGCGAATGGGGTGACCAGTTCTAAAGAAAACAAATCTTAGATTCTCCATCCTGCTCACCCATCCCTCCTCCAATCCATCCATCTACTCATCTAGCATCCACCCATCTATTTACTCATCTCATCATTTAACTATCTACCCACCCATCTGTCTACCTACCTTTCTACCTTTCCATTCTCCATTCACCCTCTTACTCATTTATCCAACCATTCATTTAACCATGCAACCATTCCATATGTATTCATTGAGTGCATTCAATGCTAGGTATTGATCTAAATTAATGTATAACTAACTTGCTAAATTACTATTGTCTCTGTGGTCTATAATTCGATAGTTGGAGATCTGGCTAAAGTGATTAATGTCATATGCCAGTCAAATTTGATGCTCACCTAGATCCAGTTATTTTGCATATCCCCACTAAGTTACAAAGGAGAAAGAATGTGAACAAATAAATGCAAACTTAACAACAACAAAAACAAGACCAACACTCGTCTTAGGATATCTGGTTCAGCATCTTCGTCTTCACCCATGACTGCTACTATGTTGGCCAAGTTGGGCCCTGGGAAAGCTAGGAGCTTCGGCCTTTCTGTATCTCTAGGGTAGAGGTTCCCAGACTTAGGAGTACAGAAGAATCATCTAAAATGCTGGTGAAAAATGCAAATTCCTGAGCCCTTAGCACTAGAACTTTGATTCAATAGGTTGGGGAGGAGCCCTAGAATTTAAATTTTTCTCAGCAATTCTGATGCAGGTGTCTTTAGATACACACTGAAAAATACAATTCAAGCATGGGGTTTCCTGGTCTTTAATGGTAAGGACCATCTGGAGCATCATTTAAATGTATGGTTTCTGGGTTCATCTTCTGGTGAGTTTGATTCAGTGGGTCTAGGATGGGGAGGCAGGAATTTCTATGAGCCCAGGAGACTCTTATTATCAGCAATTTGGGAATATTGCTCTGGGGATCACTTAATGCACGACAGGTGTGTGCTATGGCAGGTTGTAGCTTAAGACACAAATCCCCACACTTGGCTATACAGTGGAATCAGTGGGGAAGTTTTAAAATATACTGATGTCTGGGTCAGTATGGGGCAGTCTAGGCATTAGGATTTGAATGCTCCCCAGGTGATTCTAGTGTGCAGTCATGTCTGAGAAGTCTTAAAGGCACAAAGCCTGATAGGAATATGAACTAATTAGGTTCATTATGGAAAGAACTGGAGATGGAATTCAGATCCTGCCTTTTCCTACCTCTCATTGTGGAAGGAGACACATATCTAAGTGCCTTGGGACCTAGCTCAGAACAATAAAGAAGTTGTCAAAGGAAGCAGGACCTTTGAACTTTGCAGGCTGATTGGTGTTCTGAGGAAGCACCAAAGAAAAAGCTATAGAAAATGAACAAAGAACAGAAAAGCCAGCACCGTGCCCAGTATGGACAGTGAATAAGTGAGCCTGTGGGTTGAGGTTAGCCAGGGAGCTCGCTTTGAGGGTGTCATCCATCCATTAAGTACACAGTGAAGAGGCAGCCCTTCCCAGGTGCAAGGAAGGAGGCAGAGGTGGGCAGCCTTTCTTTTCTTACCCAACCCTCCCTGAAGCTGAGAGTAGGAAGGAAAAGTGGAGGAGCAGACTTCCCTTTGGCATTCCACTTGGGCAGGTGACTTGCCCCACCCCTAGATGGGTTACCTACCTTCAGGAACAGAGCAGCCCCAGCTCTGAAGGTGTTCAACGAATACGGCTACTTTTCTTTTTATAGCAAATTAGCCTATTCGAAGTTCTCTCTCTCTCTCTGACTTTTCTAATAACTCTAGGACGTTGGGTATTATATCTATTATTATAAGATATTATAAAGAAAAAAGAAACAGAAGGCTGAGTTACCCAAGGACACACAGGTCATTATGACAGCAGCCACAGTGACTCTCAGGTCACTGATTTGCCCTCAGCTCTGTACATTTTCCACCCTCTTGTGTCCCCCAGGGCACTTACTTGATAGCGCCTACAGCTGCAATAGCTCCGAATACAGCTGGTCTTCCTACCTTCCCACCAAAACCTCCACCCACTCGTTTTACATGACAGGTGATCCTGTTGATGGGGACGTTTAAAGTAGAGGACACTGTTTTCTGTAAAAGTTAGAGATTGGGAAAGTTTTACAAGAGTGAAATGGCAACCTCCCTTCCTCTTTTCAACAGAAAGCTTCTTTCCATGGGAGGCATGGTTCCCCTTCAGTGGGGCTAAGGGACAACCCCCCTTGCAGAAGAGGAAGTTCAGGCTACTAGGGGCAAAGATATGAGGAGCTCTGGGGACCTAGAAAGGGGCCCAAAGGTGGGGAGAGCCTCCGTCTCCATGAGGCCCCCTCCCAAAGAAGACTGAGATAGTCTGAATGTGTCTTGCGGAGCCCTATTGAATTCATAAACATGAATCGTCATCACAGAACAGCTTTTCCAGCAGAAAAATGGTACTTTCTATAAGGGAAACTGTCAGGTCCTGGATTCCTGTCAGAGGTGAGAATCCTAGCCAAATGCCTAGACCTAATGTCCCAACAAAGTGAAACTTCTGACAACCTACTAAAGAAGATATATTTGCAGCTAAAAACTAGAGCACTTTGTGACTGTATGGGAATGAAAATGTGCTATAAAGTGATGTGTTTCCACCAAAAGTTATCTGTAATGATAATTTCAGAGAAAAATCAAGTATAGACATAACTTAGTGTTGCCATCCAATCACAGAGTTCATTTAACATGATTGATGCAAATGAATGTACTAAGTCTGTGGCTGTTCATTTACTTACTGGACGAGCCCAGAAAAAATAAACGGGTCCTGGGGTTTTATCTCTCTACTGATGGCCAATACTTGGATTCTAAGTCTCTGCAGGTAAAATGGCTGCTAACGGTGAGGCTATGGGAATTGAAGGCTATGTTGGAATTAGAACGTTGTGGAGGGGGTGGGGGGCAATTCTAGACCTCACCTGCACGTGGGCTGGATCCTGCGTCGACACATAAATGTCTAGTTCTTTGTCCTCTGTCTTTGGAATAATGAGCACTCTTTGTGTTTCCATGTAAAAATGTTCTTGTCCTCCAGCATGGACTTCTCCTGTTCAGTTCAAGCACAGGGAAATTCCTGAAGGTGAGTGCAGGTTGGAAACTGCCATTTGGGGGAACTCAGCAGCAAGTAAGACATGAACTGGCCAGCCTGGATATGTCCTGACCAAGGAGCTGACAGATTAGGCATTTGTCCTGTGGCAACTGAGGGTAATCTGTTTCAGAGACTACTGTTCTATGTAACAAGTTGAAAGTATCCGGTTCTGTTCCTCACTGGCTCTTGCATCATCAAAGTCTTAGGCGTTTTTCTTCTGTTTATTCTGTTGCTCCCTACCTCCCACCCCCAAGAGTCTCACACGCGCACATGCACGCGTGTGTGCACACACACACACACACACACACACTGTTTAGAAAGAAGAGATATAAGAGAAATTTGGCAAAGGGCCATTTAGAGGCTGGACTTTCTGAGAGGAAATCATATGTTCTCAGTATCTGTTTCAGAATGGAATCCTGCAAAGATTCTGTCAAATATCCTGAGACTCTTACCTTCGACAATTTGATCTACTTTTTCAAATGCCTCCTCAATGTTTCCTTGTTCAAGTTTTTTTTCAGGGCATAGGAATGAGTTGTGTTTTATGGCCTCCTGAGTGGCAGGAAAAAAAACACAAAAGCCATTTTTTTTTTCTTTTTTCTTCCACTGGCAGTGTGTTCTTAATCAAAAGCCAATACACTCCTGAAAATTGCCTCCTACTAGGATGCATGAAAGGAATCATGCAAGCAAGAGAGTACTAGATTAGTGGGCTTGTCAAAGAGACAGGATGTCAGAGAGAATTTCTTCTAGATTTCAGAGGAAACCAACAAAGGTTAGAGAACTGAGATCTGAAGACACTATGATGGTCCAGGATGATAACTACTCATTTCTCATTTTCAGTGTGGCTCTCCAGGGGACAGGGGACAAGGGACAGGTGACAGGTCCAAATGCAGTATGGGTGAGGTTCTGGGCCCTGCATTTATACCCTCTCCCTGAAGAAAACTACTTGTGTCAGACTTAGGTGGCTCATGTACAAGAATCTCTAACTCAGGGATCTGAAAGAACCAAGGCCACGATGAGGGAGAAGACTCAAGTCCTAACACATCTCTGGGCAAGAAAGCCCAACAGACACTGTAGGAAGTTTGTTCATTTCTTTGAGTATTTGGCTTATCTCACAAGGCCTTTCTAGCCCTTTGTTATATATTTTCTTTCTGATAATAAAATGAACTGACTCACACATGAAGACTCAGAACTATCTCATTCTTAGGTTCAGTGAATTGACCTACTGACAGCTGATCCTTGCTTTCCCTTCAGAACCAAGGTGATTTTTCATACTTGAGAACACCTGTCTTCTGCATTCTTACTCTCCAACAGCTTTAAAGTCATCATCTTTCTTGCTGGTGATGATAATGAGAGTAGCTAATATTTTTTGAGTGCTTGCTTTGTGTCAAACATTGTACAACATAGTGTATTTACATTCTCGCATAAATTCTATTATGATCTCCATTTTCCAGATGAAGAAACTGGGCTTGGAGAAGTTATAACTTTCTCAAAGTCATGCTGCAAATTAGTGATGGAGGGAGCTTTCAAGCTCTGGCTTAGTTTTCAGAAACATCTTGCTTAATATAATGAATACTTGATTTTTAAAAGCAGCAGAAAATGAACAATACAGTCAAATTTTTCATTTTTTCCTATACTGAGATCTCCATCAGTCACCCTAGTACACGTGGAAGAATGTTTATTGCCACACTGTTTGTGTCATAAAATAATATAATCTTATTATAATACATGTTATATTTACTGAGCACTATGTGCCAGGCACTATTCTAAGTGTTTTATGTGTATTAACTCATTTAGTCTTAGGACAACCTGATGAGGTAAGTATTATTATCATTACCCCTATTTTTTAATGAGGAAACCTTAGCACAGAGAAGTCAAGTAACTTGCCTAAGGTCACACAGTTAGTAATTGGTGCAACCAGAATTCAAATCTGGCAACTTGGTTCTGGAATCCATGCTTTTAACCGCTATGTTATACTGCCTCTCATATATGTGTAGCCATATAAATGAATGAATGGATGGATGAATAAGTATTGGTATATATGACTGTTTTGTTGCCTACTTTTGTTCACAAAAGAATTTTTTTGCTGATTTTGGATAGTCCAATTCTGAAGGAATTCTAGATCGCTAAGCATTTTGAGTCCCTGAGTTCATGGATATGTCCTCTGAGTATGCCATTTCCCTCTTGAGGAAATGGGATTATAATTGAAAATTTAAAAACCCTTATTAGGATCCTGGTACATCCCTAGAAAGGGGAGTGAGCCAAGAAAAATGACCTGGACTTCTTGCAAACTTGGTAAAATGGGAATTTTTGTCAGAGTTGATTTGGTTTAGAAAGATCAAAATTTAAAAAGGCCAAGAAACATGACCTTTTAAACACTTTGAATACTGAGCAAGTATACCTGTTAGGCACATTTTAAAAAATTTTCAAATGGTTCACTAAAGCCATTGAAAATATTTTATTTTCTGTCATAAGGACATAAATAAGTAAGCTTTTACCAACTCAATTACTCTGAACTTGTCTTTCATTGAGTTAGAACCTGAAAATCTTAGTCCACATCAGGCTTTTCTATTCTAACCTCATTATTTTTTCTGAAAATAGCATTTGCATTCCGTTATCTAGATCCAGAAATAAGAGTGAAATTTCTGTGAGTTCCATCATGAAAGTGCCATCGCTTTCAGGTTCCACTTTGAAAACATTATCGTTCCCAACATTCACTCCCATCGTCTTTCTCGAATCCCCGATTTTTTGTGGATACCTGATCATCTGGAATGGAATTTATGTTTCCCAGCTCCCCTTGCAGTTAGGTATGGCATGTGACTAAGGTCTAACCAATGAGATGAAGCAACTCATTGGGAGTGTCCTTAAAGAGTAAGATATGCCTTTCGTCACCACCAACTCATTGGGAGTGTCCTTAAAGAGTAAGATATGCCTTTCGTCACCACCTCACTGTCTCTGCTGTCCGGAATGTGGACTTAATGGCAGAGCATTAGTCACTATTTTGGGCCAAAGTGTGACCTACAGAATAGAAACTGTGCATGATGAGCAACTAGATAAAAGGAGCCCAGATCCGTGACACATAGCCCTGGAGTGATCACTTCCAGACTTTTTGAATGTAAGAGAGAAATAAATTTATGTTATTTTTATTATTTCTTGGTTCTTGGAGCCGAAGTTAATTTTGGTTCACGCAAATACCTTTCAGAGAATGCTGATTTTTTTTTTTTTTCAGAGCAAGCTAGTGACAAGAAAAAATTAGAATCCTGAATTAGTCTTGCATTAAGATATTTTCAAAGGTACTTTTAATTCTACAACCTTACAGGACAGACTGGTCAGCTCTGCTTACCTCGATGGTGAAGATTACGGGCTCCAGATCTTCGTAAGTGATCTTTATCTTTTCAGTGGCTCGCTTTGCCTGTACATTTGTCTCTGCAACCACAGCACAGATGATCTGGCCCACACAGAGTACCTAGGGAAAATACATTATGGAGGCAGGTAGGAAATTCTGGGTAGGAGTAGGCTTAGCTCAACCTTACCAGCAGCTGGTATCTTAGTTATCATTGTTGAGCAATAATAACCACACAGGAGGCACATTTAACTGCATGTGCTTGGCTAAAAAATTTTTTCTAAATTTTAACTTAAAAAATGATTTAAATAGCACAGAAAGTTCCACTGGCCATTTTACTCAGTGAATATAAATCCCAGAGTGGAAGTGAGATTGGCTGTGACCTGAATTTGCTGCATCCTGTGTCAAGCTTGGTTCACATGTGTCACCTTCATGGTGTCATTTTAAAGTTGAAACAAAAGAAAAGCATCTTTTGTAAACCATACCCCTCTCCAATTCATGTGTTGAACCCCCAAACCCCAATGTGACTATATTTGGAGATAGGCCCTTTAAAGGGGTAAAAGTTAAGTGAGGTCATAAAAATCGAGCTCAAATCCAATATAACTGATGTCTTTATAAGAAGAAGAAGAGACACCAGGGAGGCTCATACACAGAGAAAAGGCCACGTGAGGACACAGGGAGAAGACGGCCATCTGCGAGCCAGGAAGAGAGGCCTTGGGAGAAACCAAACCTGCCGGCACCTTGATCTCAGACTTTCTAGCCTCCAGAACTGCGAGAAAATACATTTCTGTTTTTAAGCCACTCAGTTTACAGTATTTTATGTCAGCCTGAGCAGATAATACAGCTCCTAAATGACAACCAACCTCTTCATCTGGAGTTCAACCAAAAGAACAGTGATTCATTCCATAGTTGGAGGAGAGACAGTCTGTGAGGGACTCATCGAGATGTGACAACAATAGCTAATACTTACTGAGAACCTCACACGCCAAGCGCTGTTGTAAGCACTTCACATATATTAACTCACTTAAATCTCACAACAACTCATCGAGGTAGGTGCTATGATTATTTCCATTTTACAGATGATGTCACCCAAGGACACACAGCTCGTGAGTGGCAGAGCTGGAGCATGAACCAAAATAGCCCTGCTCCAAACGCAATTGTTCGGTGAATGATTATGGAATTGAATTAAAAGGTCAAAGACGACAAGAACAACTTTATTAAAAATAGAATGTGTGAGGTAGGTAGGAGGTGGAGGGGCTGGGGTTGGTCTAGGAAGCAAGAGAGTTCGGTGTAAATAACAGGGAGTGGCTGTGCTTTTTCGTATTCCCATTTCTAGATCTTTCAGGATATTCTATCTTGCTACAGGTCAGTTCCTGCATTTATGCTTCAGATGAAGGTAAATTGACTCAAGAACATACAGTGGGAAAACTAGGACTTGTTGTTTTCTGTAATAAGTTTCCTTTTTCCTATGTTATTTCCAGACTCCAGAAGAGTAGGTTTGTCTGAATAAAGATATTAGAGGTAGAGAGAAGCTAGAAGAACTGGCACTTCTATCCCTTGGTGGCAGAGAGGGCTGTGAGGCAATGGGAAGCCAGCTGGAGGTGGTACCTTGGCGATTATCTGCACAAAGTCACCTGGGAAGGCATATTCCATACCTCGTCTACAGCCAACAGTTTGTCATCTTCAGCACCATTGGTGCCAGGAATGTCTTTGGCTGTTATCACATCAACCACCCCGGGTAGTTCGAGAGCCTCAGACAAATCAATTGATCTGAAAAAAGAGAAATACTTAAGAAGTAGAAATCAACAAGCTTTGAGGGCCCCAAACCTGAGGGAGGGATAGAGCATGGTTGAAAATCAGAATATGTAACAACTAGTTCAGCTTTGGCCCTGACCAATCAGAGCTGACTTGCCAGAGTAGGGCCCAGGAGGCCCCCTGCTGGGCCAGGGGGATACCACTTCAGCTGCTGGGAGGGGAGCCAGAGGAAGGACCAGTGTGGCCGTGACAAGGGGTATCCTTAGGAAGTTTAAGACAGTGGCCATTACCATTCAGTAACGACGTATTTTAGTATATTCAGTATCACCAGCTGAATATCAGCCCTGCTCAGAGTTACTCCCTGCCTGAGGCCGAGCAGGGAAATGGGGCGCTATGAAGTTAGAATGGAAGCCATGGGCCCCTAACTATGATTTTTTGTTCTCTCTTTCATGATGGTATTTCTAAATACTCTCCCTTCTTCCTTCTGGGCCTGGCGGCCTTTTCTTTATTCTTTCCTTTTTAGGTTCTTTGGGTTAAGGACATTGAAGAAGAATGGGCATATTCCTTCAAGTGAATCCTCAGATGTGCTTTTAAAAGGCTTGTTGAGAGCTTTATTTTTTTACTTACATGATTTTTGCATGGGCTCTGGTACTGGTCACCAACACCATGTACAGCTCGTTATCCACCCTAGGGATGTCATCACAAAATATAGCTTCACCTGTGGCATGTTTAAGACCTGATACATGCATGATGGGGCGTCCGACTGGGTCTTGGAGGGGCTGGCGAGAATCCACACTCTACAGAGGAAGACAAGAGTTGCCCTGGAAAACTTTAATCTTCAGAAGTCGCCTGGCCTGTTACCACACTCGTGACTCAGGATTGAGAAACAAGATAGTCACCTTTGGGTAACAAACACTGGAGTGGCTCAGATGACAAGCGTGACAATTTAGTGATGTAACTGGACTGGGAAATGGTTGTTTGAGTTATGTGGCAATATCTCAGACAGGGCCAACTGTTTAAGCAAAATTGTTCAGTAGGTGAAGGGATACCCCAGCTTCTCCTTTCGGCACCTTCTTTTCCTAAGTGGTCTCCCTGTATCCCTTTCTTCAGGAATTCAGAGGGTCTCCCTACCCTGCTTTCTTACTTTCCAGTAATTAATATGTTCACATATAAAGTGATCATGATGACGATATAAAGTGATATAATTCCTGAAGATGGAGAACCAAAATCTATGCCTAAAGCCTGCTATTGACTTGAGCAGGACCTCTGGTGGAGGCGGGGGTAGCAAATGGCAATGGAATCCAGATGTCGATCAAGGGACCTTGGCTGCCTCTCTAAGTGGCATAAAAACATCCCTGGGAGTATAACGAAATGGAGAAAATGTTTACTCTGGAACTCTTCTCAAGGAAGATCTGCGAGCGTGTGTGTGTGAAGAGATGGGTCGGGGGAGGGGTTGTGCTCAAGCAGATAATAACAGATACTTTCTAAGCTGTCCTTCAAGAAGGGTGGGTTCAGCTGCTTGCAGGGTTCTTGTTTTGCTGACTGGAGATTAAACATTTGCCATCTGGGCTGGAGGCTGAACCTTGCTACTTTCCTGCTCTGTCCTTCCCCCACACCAGGCTCAGCTGCTCTTCAAACAAATGCACAAAGATCAGTTTGATAGTTTGAAGAGACTATCAATTATCAGTCAGATGGTCAAACTGCTCCAGGTTTGTTTTAGCTTTGAGTGTATCTAGCGGTAGCTCAGGACTGATCTTAGAGCCACCGTCTCCCTGACATGGCCTAAACAAAGGGCCAGTATACTAGCAAAAGCTACAAAGCCACAACTAAAAATCACAATTCTAAAGTGCTCGCTTGTTCGCACAGCTATCGCTTATCTCTTAGCGTTAAGTTTCCGTTAAATTAAACGCACTGACCTGGTATTTTTGGACTCCCTGGGGTACTGTGACCGGGAAATCTTCTAGAGCGCTTAGGAACTGGTCTGAAATTTCAGGGTAATGAAGGCAGTCCTGAGAGAGGATTCAAAACAATAAAGATAAGCTGATGAGTCTGTGATTACGCTGGGCTTTGATTGATGTAAAAATGACTTGGCTAAAGTACTCATGAAATTGCAAGGCCAGAGTAGCCTGGATAACCAAAGTCACCTCTCAAGATTTCACTTTTTATGAGAGTTTCTTGCCCTCCCTCCCTTTCCACATAATGAGGATCTGGACTGACTGGTTTGAATCTGATTCTCAAATCATCTTGAGATGGGAGAGGCCTGTTAGTGAGCTGGCCTGTGGACAGGAGGAGGAGCAAGAAAATTTGGGGCTGGATAAGCCATCCCTGAATGTGCTGGAATTCAATGTACACAAAACAGCCCAGATCCTGATTGTTTTCTCAGCCACTCCGCTTTTCTGGGAGAGCAATAAAATTGGGAAGGCTCTCTGTGTGTCACTGAAACTCAGCATCAAGTACGTGTTGTCATTCAGCAATTACATGGCAGCAAAGATTATCCTAGTGAATGTGGTCAGTGAGGGTCTTCATCTGAATAAATGAAAATCAGGCACTGTAGGAACATGGG